GGGAGAGGGAGAGGGAGAGGGAGAGGGATGCGGAGCGGTGATGCATGCAAGGGGGATTATTTGTAAAGGTTGGGGCTCTCAACTGCGGCCCCACGCACCAGTAGGGGCCTGCCGCACGGGGCTGGCCGGGGGCTGGGGGCTTGGCCAGGTCGTCGGGCGTCTTGCCCGCCAGCTGGAAGGTGGGGCCGACCTGGAGGAGGGGGGGGGGACGTGCGCGCGTGCACAGATGGGTCAGTGCAGGGTGGCAGGAGTGCTGGGGGGGCGCACGTGCGTGCTCATGTGAATGGTGGGTGCAAAACGGCTTGCCGCTACGCCCCTCCTCTCCTCGTGTTCCTGGGTGTGCCAGGCCCAGCTGGAAGCCACACCCTGGCGTCCCTTCGCGCTGGCCTTCCGGCCAGCCGCGCACAAAGCACCGTGGGTCAAAGCGACCAGGAGCCACCCATGGGCCTCCAACCATGCCCGCAGAGTCCCCCGCTGCACCTCAGCTCTCCCTGCTCACGTACCCCGACCCTGCCACCCCAGTCCAAGCCACCCACCAGCAGCTTGCTGGCCGCGGTGTCGGGGTTGCTGCGGCGCACGGGCCAGGGGAGCGCCACCATCTCAAAGCTGGGGCCCTTGCCGGCAGGGGCCGCCACGCCCGCCTGCGCCAGGCAGGTGCCCACGGGCGCCTTGTTCACGGCCCCGGTGTTGGCATAGTTGCACACGCGCACGCCCTTCTGCGTTGACGGTTGGCGGTCGGCGGTTGGCGGCGGGGTGCGGCGTGGTTGGGGCCGCGAGCCAGGGGGCCCAGGGCGGGGGGGAAAGGGAGAGGGGAGCGCAGCGGGCGCAAGCGGAGGGCAGCAGGCAGCAGGCGGTGTGCTGGGTGCGGCCTGCACCGCCGCAGCTGCAGGTGCCCTGCACATGGGCGGCATCAAACGACACGACCGCGAACCCCCCTGCCCTCCTTCATGAAGCCCCTTCCGCTTTGTCCCCCCCCCTCCTGCCACCATGCACACAAAGCTCACGGTGAGGTTCTTGGCGTCGATGGGGAGGTACTTGGCGCGCACGCAGAAGAGGCTGCTGGCAGGCTGGTACTTGAGCACGGTCTGTTTCTGGACATACCTGCCAGTTGGGGGCGGATTGGGAGGGGGCGACTAGGGGGAGGGACACACGGAAGCAGCGGCGCGCAAAACGGCGCGAGCGCGCAGTGCTCGCCAGGTGGCCCACGCGCGGACGGAAGCCGGGCGCGCGGCGCCTCACCAGGGGGCTGAGATGAACTTTGCCAGGTCAAAGCCAGCGACGCTGTCAAACTGCTTGGGGGGGCAGAGCCAGGGCTTGATGCTTGCAGCCTGGGCGGCACCGGCCAGTGCCAGCACCACCAAGAGACCCATGCCCAGGGATGGCTGGCTCATGGTGCTGCGTGAAACTTGAGTCCGGCTCAAATGATACAACCGAGGTGAACTGCGGGGAACAGAAGCCGCGTCCTATCGCCCCCTGTCGTTCTGCGTGGATGCTTGCGCGGTGATGTGCGTTCTGGTGACGGAGGTTCTGGGCTGCTTGGTTTAATCAAACACTCTAGTAGTGCCGAGCGAAATGTACACCACATCACCCAGGTCCATCCTGAGAACTGGGAACCTGGTCGTGCACACTTCGACGGCCAGCAGGGAGCTACTCTCACCTGGCTGGCTCATGCAGGTTATGTCACCTTCCAACCTGCAGCTGCGGCCATCAGAAGCTTGAACTACGAGTTCGGCTGGGTTACCCTCAACCAAGTGCTGAGAGTAGTGGCAAAAGGGGGAAACCAGCCCAAGGGCCCTCCCAACCCACACGTGCTGCAACAATGTGCACAGAAACGCGTTTTTGAGATCCAGCGGACCCATGCCTGCTGGTATGTGCATACAAAGAAGCATCAGGGCCCCGCTGCAGCGACCAAACCCTGCGACAGTGATCCAGGAGGGCCTGGCAGCTCGTCCCTCCCAGCCTGCAGGCCTGCCCTGATGAAGAACCGCCGTACCGCAGAGCAGCCAATGCCACACACTTACCAGGGCAGCAGCGCATCCAGCCCTGCCGCCCCATTTTCCTTCTGCAGGCCGGCAGATTCACACAAACAAAGCGCGTCGAGCCCTGCCCCGTACGCCGGCACGCCCCGACATCGAGTAGCACCCCCGGTCTAGGCAGCACGCGCGCGCAGGCCAAGCTTGCGCTTTTTGGTCACAGTTCGTTGCTCGTTGACAGAGCCTTGCTTCTTCCTCACGCTACCAGGAGAGCTCTCGTCTGGGGAAAGCAAGCGCCCACTGGCCCGATGCAGCTACTCAGCTACTAGAGCTGCAGGGCGTAGGCTTGCACCGCACCAGCAATGTCATTCCAGCTGGTTGCTTTCTCACATCAACTCTTGCTTGCTTTTTGGTGGGTTTTGACAATCCAATCAGTGCGCACAAACCATTGTACCGAACACCTCGAGCGCGCTCCAGCAGCCCCTTTGCTGTGCTTAGCCACCTCCTCCGCTCTTGGAGCTTTATCATAGGTGCTATTTAAAGCAGGTTGACGTGCCGGCTGGGTCTTCGTGGGCAGGCCCCGCCCCCAGCGACAATTTACGTAATTGGGGGTGAGCAGGCACTTGCACCTCCAGGCTTCACCAGGCGGTGCACGGCTTAGGCCATTGTGATAATGCCGTTATGCTGCTAACGGCCTGGGAGCAGGCAACGGGCGCACGTCGAAGCTAGGCCATCGAACAACCTTCTCGACCAACCCTTCCCATGTAATATGCTGTAGCCTGTCTCCGGAGGACGCTGAGGGGGGCTGAGGTGGTGCCAGGTGAGAGTGCAGGCTGGGGGTGGCGGCTTAGAGCAGCTCCGTTGGGACCCCCGCATGGTGAGGGAAGCAGCCAGGCATGCATGTGTGGGCCTCGTTTTGTGCATTCTGGTTTCAAAAACCAGCTTGCTGATCAGCAAGCTGGTGGAAGTGAAGGCAGCATGCAGCAGAAGCACGATGTGAGCTAAGTGTGCAGGTGGCACTTTGCCGCATGTGGGTTCCTGCTGTGCAGGACTACTGTTGCATGCATTGTCACACATGTCTTGCTCCTCACAGGCATGTCTATGCTGCTCCTTGCAGGTACAGCGATGGCTTCATCAAAGGAGCAGCTGGCTAGGCAAGTGCCTACGCTCTTCTCCACACGGGGCGCTGCTTTTCAAGGGAGGGTGATGCTGGCCATTTCAGGGCTCGATGAAGGCGTGGTCGCCGCTGTGCTGGACATGCCGGAGGATGTCAAGCAGGCTACACTAGAGGCAGCAATTGCTGGTGAGCAGTGGTGTGGCTCTCTGCTACGGAGCTTGGGCATTCGGTACTGGCTAGCGGTTGTGAAACTGCTGGATTGCAAGGGGCAGTAGTGTGTAAGGAAGCACCTGTAGATTGCTGACATTGCTGCTGAAGCAGCAACAGTTGGGCTTCGCAGCAATAAGCTGTGGTTCACACAACATCCTTGCGTCTAGCTAACACACCTGCAACATGCGCACCGTGCGTGGCTGTGTGTTGTCTTTGACAGCCACATCGGACCCTCAGCTGCCTCCAGGCTGTATTGTACTTGAATGTATTTTATTGCTGACATTGTGTGCTTGTGGCATCATCAGTCCCCTTGCGGTCTGCCATACTGCTTGCAGCATCCGTACGCACGCACCTCCCCTTGCCTTCAATTCAGGCGAACCCTTAAGGATTTGCCTGAAGTAAGCAGCTTCTTACTCGCTGCTGCCTTCCCCATCATCTCTCCTCAATCGCCGCATGTGCTGTGCTCCCTGGCCCGGTCAATGCTGCTGCTGCTGCTGCTGCTGCTGCTGCTGCTGCTGCTGCTGCTGCTGCTGCTGCTGCTGCTGCTGCTCCTGCTGCTCCTGCTGCTCTTCAACTCTTTCCGCATCCCTCCTCTCGGCATGCTGTTACCACCACCTGCTGGCTTCCCCCGCCATGCTCATGTGACATCTTTGGTCGTCCGCCTCGCTGCTGTCCAGGCACAGAAGTGGCAGCATCAGGTGCGCTGTATGTGCATCTTACGCTCCATGTCGATATCTGGCTGGGGCTCGGGCTTCATGTGCTTGCCCACAGCAGATGTTGCTGGTCCAGGTTGAGGGGGTTGTGGACCATGCTGATCTTGGTTGAAGACCCATCTGCACCTTGCAAGCACGGCATGGCAACAACGCCGTGCGCCCCTTGCAGCAAGCGCGCATGTTTTGTGCTCAGTTTGCCTCGTTGTCATCACTCGATTACCTGCCGGCGCTGACCCCATCTGCAAGTTGCATCCTTGCCTGTCCCGTCTCATTCTTTCACCTGCTGACTTTCCTCACAATTATCATGCCCCTTTGAACTGCATATTCCCTTGACGGTCTTTGCCTGGGCCTCTGCAATTGTTCCACAGCAGCAGGTGATATGCTGCCAGGGTTTGCGATGATAGATAGATAAGT